GGTCTGCCGCGCCCTGGGGTCCCCTCCGGGGTGGGGTCGCCCTCACGCTGAAGCGGCTGCAGCCAGCTTGCGGTGCTGCGTCCTGACCTGCGGCGCCACCAGGGAAGGCCACTTTGGGTAAGCTTTTACGTGTGCTGCTTGACCGGAAGACGGCTGGCCCTCAGCAGGACACCGAGAGCGGGAACAGTGCTGAGACGGTTAAAAATCACGTCCCAATCCTGAGGCACAAACACAGATTCCGGGCGCCTGGAACGTGCCGCTAGCGCGGGCCGGCAGGTCACAGCCTGGCACCACGAACGGCGGGTGCCCACTGGGAGGCGGCAGAGTGGGCGGCGGCCAGCGTGGGACCCCCGCCAGCACTGCTCTGCCCCTCTGGGCGGCGCCTCTGGGGGGTCACGTCTGGGAAGCCTGGGCGTGGCGCGTCCACAAGCGTGGGGACCGGACCTGATGGCGCCCGCGGCCAGCGCTGGCCGGGGTCAGGTCACGAGCGGACCCAGCAGCAGGGGTCGCTGAGAAGGGGCTCCCTGGCCTTTCCGGCCTCTCCACTCATGAGACCCCCCTCTGTCTCGGCATGTTAAACCTGTCGGGGAGTGAGAAACCAGCGTGACTCAGAGTTCTCTGACCGTGTCCTCCTGAGCCCCACGTCAGGCTGGGTGGGGAGAGGCGAGGTCCAGCCGGGAGGCGCGGCACTGTCCAGAGCCGGTGCTGAGCCCCAGCAGACCCCTCGGGGGATCCTCAGGGTGGTCAGCAGGCTCCCCGCAGCGGCGGCAGCGGCTCTGTGGCCTCGGCCACTTAGGCCGGGCGCTGGGCTCTCCCGGGCCTGGTCGTGGGCGCGTCTCCTGCCCGGAGCCCAGAACCCATTTGCTCTTCTCTGAGCCCGGGGCCGGGACTGAGCCCGGGGCGGGGGGCTGCCAGATGGGCCCCTCAGGAGACTGTCCTCTGCGAGTGGAATCGGGGTGACCTCTGCAGCGGCCACAGCTGTTCCGTCTGCCAGCCGAGAGCAGCCGAGAGCAGCGGCGTGTCAGGCTCAGAGGAAGGGGCTGCTGTCGCCTTGCTGAGCCCAACACTGTGGGTCCATAGCCGCACCCCGGTGTGGGATTGCCCCCCGAGCCTTGACTGAGCGCTGCTGGAGACCCTTCTGCGAGCGGCGGGGTGACAGCCGCTCGCTCTGGAGCGAGGCCGGGAAGGTGGCCGGGACTCGCTCGCAGTGAACTCGGCAGTCTGAACTCACAAGCAGGCGGCTGAAAGGAGGTACAGACTTCGGAAATGAGGAGGCACGTGGGGGAGCAAAAATGGCCTCCCCCCGGAGGTGTGACGCACCTTGAAGGACAGCGCTTGGCCAGTGGGTACCTGGC